ATGGAAACGCGACCAGTGACAAATAATTGCACAATAAACCACTCACATAACATTATTATCACTGTCCTTATTCACAAATCCTATATTCTTCTGTGAACTTCGGGGTATACTGGACTGTATTTATTACCAAACTATCATTTTTAAATCTCTAAAAGGCTGGATAGTTTTGTTTATGACGCGACCTCTGAAAACTGTGACTCCATCTCCGCTATTAGAAAACTAGACGTAACTAAAATGTAATTCTGAGATCCGTATATAGGAATATCACAACTACCGTACCTAACTCTAACACTTTGAACTCTGGAGTAAGGCGGTTTGGACATTGTGCGTGGAGTTCCATCCAAAGTGGCAATGGATGGGTCTTGTGACTAGACAGGACTAAAGTAGATGGGCTCATTAGCACATATAATTTTTAAGATAGAGATCCTGCGAAAAAAAAGAAGTATCGGTAGACCTTAGAAGAGATAGCTGAATGACAGACATCCATTAAACACTGGTATCTATAAGAACAGAACACAGACATATTTCTGGAGCTGGATCCACATTCATCGAAATAAAAAAAAGGGGTCTACATAAAGCATTGGATGGAACTAAGGCTACCAAGAAGGGTAGAGTAATTTCAATAATTGTTTACCAAGCAGAACAAATAACAGACCTGTTATGTCAGAATAATATGATTTTCGTCCTGTCAACATATATTTTTTTATTTACAATATAAATACTTGGAGAAGGACATGACTATAAAAAACATTATTTTAGGAAAAAAAAATACTTTAATAGGTTTTAGATATTATATACACCTCCGTAGAATTTGTAGTGTTACTATCCCCAATAACATCGTTGTCCGATTGTTCGTTCTTCTTACGCCCGAAGTCACAAATTCTATTCTCCCGTGAACTTCGGGATACAATGGACTGTATTTATTAAAATACCAAACCATCATTTCCAAATCTCCCAAGTCCTGGCTAGTTTTATTTATGGCGCGATCTCTGGAAACTGTAATTCCATCTCCGCCGTTAGACAGAAAACTATATGTAACTACTGTATAATTCTGAGCTTCGTTTAATGTTTCATAAACAGGAATTTCGCAACTGCCACACCTAACTCTAACATTCTGGAGTAAAGTGGTTTGGACATATCCAGCTGCAGGCTTATATCCCGAAACTTGTGGGAATTCTCGATTGGAGGTTTCTCCTTCTGACCTAACCATTTCTTCGAAAGCGTAATTGGATCCGCTTAATATTAGTATTATAACTTGGTTACCGAATGGTCTAGCTCTGAGTAGATCACTTCGGGTAACGCAGTTGCTGTCAACGTCTAGTATGATGGTGTTTCTGATACCACCTCCTTTGGAGATTCCTATGGGAGCACTGGTCCATCTTTCAGTCGTTACTGACGCGATGTAAGCTATGTGAAGATCAGTTATAAAATTACCAAAGTTGCACTCTTTTTGACGGCATACATCAGAATTACCATTCAATACAACTTTTGAAACTCCTACTTTTTCTTTAATTAGTTTGTCTATAGCAGGTCTATAAACTTCAAGTAATCCCAAAACATCTTTTTGGTAAGCTATGCTGTTATCCAAGAATATCGGTTGTCCGGAAACGTCTGTTGGTCTGCCACTAGTGTCAAAAGTGGCTTTTAGCACACCTAAGTACTTGGTATAAACATAGGCTTGGACTACCGGCACTTTTTTACCCGAAGTTTTGAGTTATTATTTTAGGGTAAACGTCTTCTTTAGTTTCGGAATCCGCTTGTTTTCCGTTCCATAGAAAGGTTTTTGTGTGGCCTCCGATGACTATATCAACTTCCTGTACTTCTTTGGCGATTTTTTTGTCTACTTTGTAACCAAAATGTCCGAGAGCTATAATGATATTTACACCTTCATTAACAAGTCTCTTGGCTTCTTTTCTGATCTCTCGGACTTCATCGTGGAATACTACCTTTTCCGGTGAAGATATTTTGGTAGTTTTGGGGGTTACATATCTTATAACGCCTACTTCGTACTCCCATTGCACTTGTAATACGACGGATTTCTGTACTTTTGACAGAGAGGGTTCTTTTGTGAAATCTAGATTGGCAGCTACAAATGAGGCATCTACCGCATTGACAAACTTCGTCAAAACCTCGGGTGTCAGGCCGAATTCATGGTTTCCTAGTGCCTAAAACCAAGAGTTAATTAGTATATTTACAATTGTTTCTTTTTTCTTCAACCATCAATTTATATCTGTCGCAGGCATATCGAATAACGGCATTTTGCAAAAAGACTAGGCTTATTATAAAACGCCGGCGTTTTTAACATAGGCAGGATATTTTACAAAGAGCCTATCTGAATTCATGGTATCCTAGTGCCTAAAACCAAGGTTAATTAGTATATTATAGATGCACATAAAAAACTATTTAAACTATATTTCAATTTTATATTATTTTTGTCTATTGTATAATTGATTTTATGTAAATTGATGTATATCCGCATTAGATGCAAAAGTAAATACGCAATAACGGTAAAATTATTTGTGCATTCGTTTGAGCGCCTCGACAAATACAGAATACAGACAAGTCCACAGTTGGCAATGACAAAGAGTAAACGTGATCATTTTGACTTGGACCATTTTTACCGTCAAGAATGGAAACGTGACCAGTAAGAAATAATCGCACAATAAACCACTCACATAATATAGCAAATATATGCCAATAACTTTAAATATGGAGAGGTACTCGCAGTTTTTCTTATAATAATATATTTTTATATAAAATTTAATGGATTTTGATATGGATTTTGGCAATTTAGGTTAATACCTTAATTTTATAAGGGGATTCCCCGATGACACCATAGTAAATACCCAGAATACCAGGAATATATCTACAATATTTCTTAATTGGTATATACTAAGGGCTGGCAAAGGTTAGTTTTGGGTCGAGATTTCCGTATGTAAGAAGAGTATGTATGCGTTTATAATGTAGGTACTGAACAAAGAGAGAACAGTAAAAACGTTGCCAAACGTATGAAATAAACCGATAATCTGTGCATATTGCTAAGAGACGTGGAAGGGGATACAGTAAATTCGTCGCGGTCGACCCAATCATCTTGCCTATGACCAAATCGGTACTTAAAATTCTAGAGAAGGGTGTATTGTATATCATGCGTTCAGCTTTACGATGTAATTACGTCTCGTGATCCTTTGTTTATTTATTAACGAGTCGTTGTAATTTTCCTGATAGCTGGAAAATTTTTAAGTGCAAGTTAGGAACACTTGCACTTTTGGTAAAAATAAGTGGAATTGAGTTGGTGTTCGACAGTGGTCGCGCTATTAGAACTCTGAATTCAAAAATCGATATTTCGAAATCCATTAGAAATAATTGATTGTAATTTTTTTCAAAAACTTTCTTAATATTTTTGCTATATTTTCTTCGCAGGCAGTATGTGAAAATCTTTACACATAAAAAAGTTACACGTTTGCTGAAAATTGCTAAAAATAGACGGATGTTTTATTTTTAAATTTTTGAATGAAAAAAAAACATCATAAACGTCTTGTAAAAGATCCGAACTTCAAAATAAAAAAAAAGTTTCAATATCTAAAGTGGTTCTTGAATATCGCGTGTTATGTGTTAAAAAGTTGAGTCTTTAAATTATCGCGATTACTGGCGTTTTCTCGTTATAAAAATATGGATACCTTAACGATATCCTTATAATTCCATTTCAGATGCTCAGAAACATATCTAATGATTTTATCTAGTTATCTTAAAAAAAAAGGATTTTAAAAATAAGCGGTTTGCGATCGTGATTTTACTTTACTTAATAAGGAAAGGCGTACCGGAGAAATGTGACAACGCCGCAACAGCACCCCGTCGCATTTCTCTCGCTCCGACTTAATAAGATCCCTATGCGATTTACTTCCACACATGTAAATACCTACCCAAAAGTAAGAGTTGCCAGTACTGTATACTTTACACTTTCTGTATTTTACCCCACATCACTGTCACGGCCAATGCTTACAATCTTACGAAAGCTTACAAGCGATCGACAAAAGCTTACAAATGCAAAGACACCTTTACGTCCGAATTGTTATTATTATACTGTCCTTATTTACAAATACTATTCTCCTGTGAACTTCCGGGTACACTGCACTGTATTTATTACCAAACCATAATTTCTAAATTTCCATAGTCTTGAATAATATATAGTTTTGTTTATGACGCGACCTCTGAAAACTGTGACTCCATCTCCGCTATTAGAAAATTAGACGTAACTAAAATATAATTCTGGGATCCGTTTATAGGAATATCACAACTGCCACACCTAACTCTAACACTTTGAACTATGGACTTTGAACTCTGGAGTAAGGTGGTTTGGACATCGTGCGTGGAGAGAATAGCACATCTAAAGTGACAATGGATGGGTCTTGTGATTCGATAGGACCAAAGTAGATGGGCACATTAGCACATAGAATTTTTAGATGGAGATCGTGGGAAAACAAAAGAAGTATGGGTAGACCTCAAAAGAACTGAATGGCAGACATCTATAAATACTGATATAGATAAGAACAGAACAGAGATATATTTCTGGACCTGGATCCACATTCATCGAAATAAAAAGAGGGGGTCTACATAAAGCACTTGATGAATGCACCAACAAGATTAGATGATGATTATGCTACTAAGAAGGGTAGAGTAATTTTAATAATTATAATTTTTTATATATTTTTATATTTATCAATAATTTTTTACCAAGCAGAACAAATAACAGGTCTCTGATAAAAAGAATAATCTGGTTTCTGTCCTGTCATCATATACCATATGATCGAGAAAAAAAACGGCGTCCAGTTGGCTTGGCAATGAACATCGATGATATTCGCCATATAATTTTGCAGATAAAATGACAGCGATCTTCATTTCATAGCCATCGCTGACGCCGTTTTTTTCGATCATATTGTATTTGTTTACAATATATACAATACTTGGAGAAGGACATGCATATAAAACAACATTATTTTAGGAAAAAATATTTTAATAGGTTTTAGATATTATATTCTCCTCCATATAATTTGGAGGAATATCCCCAATAAACATTGTCGTTCAATTGTTCACAAATTTAGAGTAATTTCAAAAATTGTTAATCAAGCAGAACAAATAACAGACCTCTGATGTCAGAATAATATGGTTTCCGTCCTGTTATCATATATTTATTTACAATATTTACAATACTTGGAGAAGGACATGAATATAAAACACCATTATTTTAGGAAAAATACTTTAATAGGTGGTTTTAGATATTATATACACCTCCATAGAATTTGTAGTGTTACTATCCCCAGTAACATCGTTGTCCAATTGTTCGTTCTTCTTACGCCCGAAGTCACAAATTCTATTCTCCCGTGAACTTCGGGATACACTGGACTGTATTTATTAAAATACCAAACCATCATTTCCAAATCTCCCAAGTCCTGGCTGGTTTTCTTTATGGCGTGATCTCTGAAAACTGTAACTCCGTCTCCGCCCTCAGACAGAAAACTAGACGTAACTAATGTATAATTCTGAGCTTCGTTTAATGTCTCATAAACAGGAATTTCGCAAATGCCACACCTAACTCTAACACTCTGAACTCTGGAGTAAGGTGGTTTGGACATATCCAGTTGCAGACGAATGCCGGAAACTTGTGGGAATTCTCCTTTGGAGGTTTCTCCTTCCGACCTAACCATTTGTTCGAAAGCGTAGAGTAAATTGGAACCGCTTAAAGTTAGTGTTATAACTTGGTTACCGAATGGTATAGCTCCGAGTAGATCACCGCGGGTAACGGAGTTGCCGTCAACGTCTGGTATGATGGTGTTTCTGATAGCACCTCCGTTATAGATTCCTATGGGAGCACTTGTCCATCTTTCAGTCGTTATTGACGCGACGTAAGCTACGTGAACATCAGCTATAAAATTCCCAAAGTTGCACTCTTTCTGACGGCATACGTCAGAATTACCATCTAATAAAACTTTAGAAACTCCTACTTTTTCTTTGTTTAATTCGTCTATAGCAGGCCTATAAACTTCAAGTAATTCCAAAACATCAGCTTGCTGATCTATACTGTTATCCAGGAATATCGGTTGTCCAGAAACGCCGGTTACTCTGCCGCTAGTGTCGAAAGTGACATTTAGCACACCTAAGTACTTGGTATAAGCGTAGGCTTGGACTACCGGCACTGTTTTACCCGAAGTTTGAGTTATCATTTTAGGATAAACGTCTTCTTTAGTTTCCGAATCCGGCTCTTCTCCGTTCCATAGAAAGGTGTTTGTGTGGCCTCCGATGACTATATCAACTTCCTCTACTTCTTTAGCGATTTTTTTATCTACTTCGTAACCAGAATGTCCGAGAGCTATAATGATGTTTACACCTTCATTAACAAGTCTCTTGGCTTCTTCTCTGATCGCTTCGACTTCATCGTAGAATACTACATTTCCCGTTAAAGATATTTTGATAGTTTCGGGTGTTAGATATCCTATAATTCCTACTTGGTGCCCTTGCACTTGTAATACGACGGATTTCTGTACTTTTGACAGCGAGGGTTCTTTTGTGAAATTTAGATTGGCAGCTACAAATGGCGCATCTGTTGCATCAACAAACTTCGCCAAAACCTCGGGTGTTAGGTCGAATTCATGATTTCCTACTGCCTGAAACCAAGAGTTAATTAGTATATGGCATCGAAAAAACAATTAAAACTATAATAATATAATATTTTTATTAAGAAATTTTGATATGAAACAGTCTCTCAGTTCCAAAAAATTAGCGTTTTTAACGACAAAAGAAAATAAAAAATTTTGTAGCAAAAAACTGCCCGTTAAAGAAAAGTAATATTTAGTACTTTGGTCTTAACTCGGTTATTTTGGATATATTTGAGAAACGGACAAAAAAGAGGAAATATATTTATTTTATCGAGATCTACCACCCCTGAAAATATTTGCACTTATTTGAGACTCTGTATATATGTATTATACTCAAATTTTATTGATCTGCTTATTGGGTATTTACTATTTACCCACCGCCCATCACTAGCTGTGGCTGTCTATGAATTGACACAGTGAAAAGTTATCATAACTGAATTTGTTCAAATAAAAATCCATATTATGTTTATATATTTTTAATGATAAGGTTTTTCTATTCGCTATTACATAAATTTATCGTGTTCCTACACTGTTTTAAATTTCTTTGAGATTTGGTTTTACTTGAAACTAGTAGTAGCAGCCTATGACTTTAAACGTAAAGCAACTTATACAAAATAATATATCTGGTTATATCAAGCTGTAATTTATTTTATTGTCGGCTTTGTTAAAAAAAATCAGGTCAGGGGAAAATTTGAAAAATGTGAATATTAATAATAATGATATTAATAAAATGTCTTTATTAAGGAAATAATACAAAAAAAATAAACAGGATCCGGCAATAGTGTGTCGGGCGATCTGTAGCTCCTGGAATAAAAACTTGGGAATTTTGTTTAAGTGCTACGGAAGCGCTGTGGGGCCAGTCGAGATTTTTTTTATATGGCTCGAGCCAAATAATAATTGGCTCTAGCCAGATAATAATTGGCTCGAGCCAGATAATAATTGGCTCTAGCCAGATAATAATTGGCTCGAGCCAGATAATAATTGGCTCGAGCCAGATAATAATTGGCTCGAGCCAGATAGAAACACCTGTTGTTAATTCTGGGAAGTCCCAGAACGCCTGTCGGCCGGCGTAATTTTTTAACCTGTCTGGAGTATTTGGTGTCTGGTCGCATGATAATACGCTCCGTGTTTGTGATGTGTTTGAAATAAAAAAAACAATTAATAATATTAATTTCTTTGTGGTGAACATTGTCTGATTTATAACATTTATTGATTATATCTACTGATTTGAGATGGATTTGGAAACATTCCTGATAGAACGGGGACTAGGACAAGATGTCATAGACAAGTTCAGGACTGAGAAGGTAAGTTGATAATATTGATTTACTTATTAAAGGACATTATTACTATTACTAACTGTACAGGGTGTTTTTTAACGGTACAATTAGCCTTAAATGGGAAACTATAAATGATAGGGTCATGAAAATTTGGGTTATCGACAATGATCTAACTTTTTAAAATAGTGGCGGTTCTCTACGACTTTCGGTAATATTATAGTTAATACACGTAAGTGTGTTGTAATAAATAATCATATAATCAATATTATTTTAATATTTGTGGTTTTGTGTATTAAAATATTCTGGCGTTAGAAAACAAAATAATTTTGACCGTTGGAGTACTGCAAACGTCTTTGTTTGTGAGTCGATGCACGACGTACGGCAGTTTTCTCTCTCTGTCTAACTCATCGTGCGGTAGCGACGCGACGTAAGTCGGAGTTGTATCGTATTAAGGCGGGGCTTACGCGAAATCTGGCATGAAGTCGTGGAGGCTCGGTAGGCTTCGAAGTAAAGGGGATATTCCCGATATTTCATAAGTCACATTTCGTTAAGAGGATATTTCATATGATTCATACATAGTTTTTAAAACTTTTATATGAAAATTCAAAAAACGTTTAAAACAAATTGGAAACCTTATTCAAAATTATATAACCGGTTGTATTTCAGAACACGCCACAGAAATAAAAGAATCCGAAATAAAAGAGGGCGTTATTTTATTCGGAGCAAGAAGAGAGGGGATACAACAGATATTACAGAAAAGTCTCAGTGTGCTAATTCAATTCGATATGTTAGTAATTGTTATTTTATGAAATATTAGATAAGTCCATAAACGGATTTCGCATATACAAAGCCCCAGTGTACCAATTTTTGAAAACAATAGGTTGAAAAATGTATAATAAAATTAATGAACATTTTTTTTTACTTTCACCTGGTATCTACGAAACGATTGTCGTAGATACCGTATTGTGTCTTTTTTTCTTAATTTCGTATAGTCTAACTGCTAGCAGAGTTTGTAACCTCATTTGTGAAACAACCTGTATAAAAGAGATGCATCCAGTAGAAATAATTTAATAATGCATTTATTACAGATAGACGAAGAAGTTATTAAATAAATGCCTGAAGAGGATTTGAGACAATACATTCCCCTTTATGGAGACAGAATGGCGGCTAAACAGTTTTGTAACAACCGAGAGAAGCCAAATCGAAAAATGGTACTATTAAAAAAGTTGCAAAATAAGATAAAACGAAAATCAGAGGCTTCCAACGGTGCATCTTCCGGGAATGAAGAAGACGAATCTGGAAAGAGAAAAAAATCTGGAAACTGGAGATCTACTCGTCAGGTGGAAATAGGTTGGATGTATAGTTTAGATGGTGAGAAATATAAGCAAATACGATCCCAGACTGGTGGAGGTACATGGAAAGTCTGTGCTTTGAAGACCATGAAAAAAAGTGACCTTATTCAAAAAGGAATTGAAATATTTTTTCCGGGGAATATTTCCAAAATGGGCAAATTAGAAGAATTTTCCGTTGATTTAATGGATTTTAAGTTGTCTACCATCGAAGATAATGTGACTGTCGAGGATATGTTTCGAGCAACCAAGTTTTCTAACTCAAAAGTGAGAGTTTATCTAGCTACTAAAGAAAAAATACAAACGGTTACCCGAACAGCATCAGATGAGGAAACTCAGATAAACACCGAATCATACACAGAAAATTCTCCCAACAATTCGTCGTTATCCTTTTCTCTACCATCTGTTGTACAAGTATCTGTAGAATCAAATGAACGACAGGAGCAGCTGGAGATACCAGAGATAAACAATCCATCTATGTTCTTGAATGATGCAGATCCAAATGTAGTAGTTGAATATGAAAATGATTTCACTAGGTTTTATTCTAACTATATCCCAATATACGAATTAGAACATACTTCTTCAGTATCACAGAATCAGAACGACATAACCGAAATACATAGTACATACAATACATACAATAATGCGGACTCAACTACTACAGCTCCGGAACCGGCTTTGAGTCCCATAGCTCCGGAACGCTTGGAATACAATCTCATCACTCTTCGACGTGGGTCACTTTTTGAAGACCTTCTTCAGAAATTCATGACCTTGGATAAGGACGGACTACCAATTCAAATAAAAATGAAAGGATATAATGGAGTAGAGGAGCTTGGAGAAGATATAGGAGGTGTGTTTCGCGATTCGTTATCAGCCTTTTGGTCCTGTTTTATGGACAGATGTACAGTGGGGGCAAATGTGAAGATCCCATACATACGCCACGATTTCAATGCTGAGAAGTGGGAAGCTATTGCCCTCATTCTATATAGGGGCTATAAAGAAACCAATTACTTTCCAATCGAAATTGCCAAAGTTTTTATGGAAATGGTAATTTTTGACAGACGATTGAGTGACCTAATTGAGTCATTTTTATCATATGTTAGTTCCGATGACAAATTTCTCTTAGAAAAAGCAATGTCAAAACTTGAAAATGTCGATCAAGAAGCTCTTTTAGACATCTTGTCAGATTTGGGATGTAAGACACATGCTACTGAGAGAAATATTTCTACACTACTAGAAGAGTTAGCTCACAAAGAATTGATACAAAGGGGAATGTTCGTCATTAATGCCTGGCAAAAAGTGCTTAGAAACTTTATCTCCGAAGAAAAGTTTTCAGACATCTATGGAACAAAACAGATCAATTCAAAAAATCTTTTGTCCCTATTATCTCCTACTGATCTTGATGCAGAAAAAAACACAATCTTTAACTACCTGAGAAAATTTATCAGGGAAAGTTCTGTGCTAACATTAAAACAATTGCTGAGATTTTGTACTGGAGCTGACGTCATTATAGGAAGACGTATACAAGTCAACTTCAATCAAAGATATGGTCTAGACATGGTTCCAACATCACACACATGTTCTTGTATCTTAGAGTTGCCAGTGAATTATCACGATTATCCAGAATTTCGTTCTGATTTCAGTTCAGTATTGAACAGCACTGATTGGTGCATCGATTTGATGTAATTTGTAAATTCTGGAGTGGATAAAATTCCGTTTTAACTTATGTTTACATGTAATTTTTGTTTGTTTAGTGTTAACTTTTGAACATGTACTTTCAGAAATATATTTTGTTGATGAAAAATGTACCTATTTCGGCTATTTCCTATTCAAATCTTGTTTCATACACTCGCGAATTGCGAATTTTGTGCCGATAGTCAGACAAATATAATTTTCGCGTAAAAAATATGAAATACTTACTAATGATCAATTAAAAAAAAATGGCAATTCGCGAGTATATGAAACGGGCTTAAATAGGTAGGTATTATGTTGTTTTCTTTCTGCAAATTCAGGTTTATGAACTTGTCGTATCATGTAAGTAAGTACTATCATATTATAAGAAGACTCATGATACTATCCATCAGGCACACAGCGCAGCGTCTGTAATAGCATACGAAAAATACTAGAGGTATTGTTTCATACAATCGACGCGAATTAAATCTTGATTTTCAGACAAAAAACTGTCATTTTCTGGTAAAAGCAAATAGATTGTCTAGTCTTGGGTCAATTTAAAAAAATTCGCGAGTAGGCATATGAAACATGAAACGCGGACTTTTACCTTGCGACCTTTCATCTAACTTCTTCTATTCACAACAATCCGATTCATCCAATTTGAATATTCATCCCTGCAATTATTACGGTAATTGCAATTTTGTATTCTAGTAAATTTTAAGGAAAATCCTGTCATCCATTCAAATTCTTGACATTTTGAGTGCCCTGTGCATATTTATATCAGGGTCTTCCAACAAAAGTCGGCACTATTATTGCTAACTCCGTTATTGTTGCAGATTTCGCAGATACTTAGTCGGTTAAATGGACAAACTAGTATTTTTACCGCTTATTACGATGGTGAAAACGAATTCTTGATCGAAGATCGCTTTTGCAGTTTATGACAAAATGTTTTTTTTAATGGAACACCTTGTATTCAATATTTCTAATCGATGAAAAATTTAATTCTGTACAGAAATGTCCTATAAATTTTAATTTTAAAGAAAAAATTTTGCATTGTACTTCAAGACCACTTATTCTTTTCGTAAAAAATGCACGAGAATGAGCTGATTTTTTCAGGGCGATACAGGGACATTCTCCAGTCTTCTCAACCAAAAAATATCTCACACGACACAAATATTCCTGGGTTTGGTAAATATTATTTATTATTATCAATCTATTTATTTACAAATAATTCAAAATTGAATGTTAATTAAATCTAATTAGCAAACGATAATGATACATTGTGAAGATTGTATTTTACATACTATCTAAAAGACGTAATATTTCTGTTCTCAATTTAATATACAAATTAACAGCCTGATAAGGCTCGTAACATAATGAAATATGTAGGTCTTTCATAATGATATTACACAAATCAAACACATCTTTGTCACAGGTCTCTGATTAATAAGCATTCTTCTTCGCAATTTTCTACGTCAATATTGTTTGTTTCAACAAGAAAATTGGTTGTTTCAAATAAATATGGTAGGTCATAAATAATACATGGGCGGCCGTTGGGACTCATGCTATTTCTCGATTTTCGAATCCTATGCGAATTCCACTCACACTGTACTTGATCAATCTCGTCCTGGAATTCAAAACAATGCAATTAGTAGTTATCTTATACCCACAGGGTGAAACAGCCAAATGGAAAAAAATCAATAACAAAATAAATGTTGCTCTTTTCGAAGAAACGCACGGACACGTTGATTTTTATTTTTGGTTTTTTGGTTGGCGATTTTTCCATCTTAGATTCACCTATACCTACAGGGTTGCTCAAAAATAAGTTAGAAGGACCAACTTCATTTTTTCAAAGGGAAACACCTATTATTATTGCATTTTTTAATTCTGCATCAAATTCTCAGTATTTTTATATAGTTTTAACAGTTTTTCCAAGAAAAAAAAATTGTCTTAAATATGTCACATGAAACATACATAACTAGAATTTGATGAGGAATTCAAAAATACAATCAAAACTAACTGTTCTCATTTGAAAAACTGTAAATAATTAAAGGGCAAGTGCGAGTCGGACTCGCCCACGAAGGGTTCCGTAACCCGCACCATTATCTTCCTACGGCATCCTAAAAAGCAATAAAAAAATAGGAAGAAATGGAGAACGTTTAGGAATAAAAAAGAGTTGCCATGACTAGAACTGAACCTGGCCTACTACGGCTGCAATGCATCGAGGACTTAAAACTGCTATGTATATTAGTTAAATTATAACTTAAATATTTGTTTATGAATATTTATTTTTATTCTGTTAGGATTTGTTCTATAGCGGCAACATAGATACATTATATGTGAACAATTCAACTGGCTAGCTACCACGGTTTATGAGATAGAGCCTTGTGACAGACGGACGGACAGAGAAGTCTCCTGAATAGAGTTCCGTTTTGACGGTACGGAACCCTAAAAATGAAATTAGTCCTCCTAACTTATTTTTGAGTCACCCTGTATAGATGAATCTAAGATGAAAAAATACTCAATCAAAAATAAAAATTGATGTTTCCCAGGGTTTTTTCGAAATGAGCTCCATTTATTTAATATTGCATTCACTCCATTTATTGCCTGTTCGACCCTGTATGTATTAGAAAGTATACAGTTTCATGTCATTTTCGGTAGATAAGTAGTTAGCTAATCTCATTCAATTTTTGTCACTCAAAAAATTGTTGACCATAAAAAAAAGACATTGTAATGACTACAAGAAATACTTACCTGAATAATGTTCAAAAAGCAGTACTGAATGAGCGATTTATCTAGAAATGTTCCAGAGAAATATCCATCATCCTTTATAGTTTCAAATAGATTTATCCAAAACTGAGAATTATGTTTTCTTAAAATGGACCACCATGATTCAATCCTTTGATTGGCCTGACTTGTTCCGTATAGAAAAGCTGGTCTACCAGAATTCACGTTCTGATTTGCATGACGTAAATATATCTGCATATTCTCTATATATCCATTCTCGGTTCCCATATCAGACCGAACTGTCAAAGGGCAACCTTGCAATTCTTTTACAGCTTCCAAATAGAAACCCGCTATAACCCTTGGATTATTTATAGTCGGGGATGCTTTTACCCAAATTAATTTTCTGGAAAAACCATCTATACATCCATTTACTCCTATTCCATAGGGCTTCAATTTATCATACGAATCCACATGCCAAATATAGTTTGGTCCTCTACTAGAGTACTGCCTTTTTCTCAATCTTTTTCTCTTTCATAGAGATACACCCTGAGGATCCAAAACTCCCAGCAAATTGCGAATAGTTTCCTGTTTGACTGTAAAACCAGATTGAAGGCATCGGAGATGCATCCATTTGTATCCATGTAAATAACCCGAACCGTTCAGCTCATTTTGGATAAACTGCTGCAACGTATTTATTGTATATTGCTTTTTCCGAAACAAACGGAGTTTTTGAAGGTGCCTTTTCAGACTTCGAAGACTCATATGTATATTATATTGCGAAAGGGCATTCTAAAATCTCGAAATAGTTGAGACCCAAATGGAAGTAGTACTTGGTTAAATCATCACACAACATTTTCCGCAAGGTACACACACTTTAACTACACAATATAGGTATTTGCATACCGCACACTGACTGAGGTACATAACCTAAGATTATATTTATACTTGATAATTGGCTCGAGCCAATTGTTATCTGGCTCGAACCAATTATTATCTGGCTCGAGCCAATTATTATCTGGCTATAGCCAATTATTATTTGGCTCGAGCCAGATAAAAAAAATCTCGACTGGCCCCACAGCGCTTCCGTACATTACTATGCAAAATAATTAAAAATATTCCTTTATCAATGTATCAACGAGCAGAGCAGAGTTCAAGCTGTGTATTATAATATTTTATACCTGAAAGCTATAGACATTTGGCAAATAACCTTCGTTTATAGTAATAACTCCATTATAATCTTTTGATAAAAATTATCGCAGGTAAACCGAAAACACTCCACCTTATCAATTTAATGTGTGCCGTTACCAGTTTTGCTGGCCAGCGTGACTTTCGCTGTTTTAGTTTTTTTTTGCCTCGATATTTGGACTTACCGTACCATAGACGGTAAAGATAAAGTGAACTAAAACAGACTTATCGGCGTGTAAAGTTGTTATGGATTAAAGATACATAAAATGTAAGTAAATAGTTCTGACATATTTTAATTTAGTTAATAAATCTTCAATAAAAGTAATTTTTATAGCTTAAGAATAATCCAAAATGCGAACTCTATGTCGGACTTGCATTACTAATTCAAGTGTCATTTTGTTATTTCAAATTCTTCTTATTAAAAACAATCTATATACTTGTTCACGCATAAATGTTGTGATAAATTAATACCAATTGAGTTCAACCCAAAAAAAATAAAGATGCTATAATATAATCTCAATATTATGTCAAGAGACAGGTAACCTGACGTAAATACGCAAGTATTTACGTCAATATTGTCTTGCACTAGCTACTGTATTTCAATTGAAAGTGATAAGCTTCTTAGTGTCCATTTATTAACAGTAGTTTTGCTAGAACATAAATTTAATGGCAATAAAATATGTATAACAATTCTACTCGAATTTCTTGCATTTTGACAGTGACTCACTGACCGATCATCAAAATTCTAAGGTAGAAGTTTCACAAACTTAAAATTTTGAATTTTAGATAAAAAAAAATTTAATATTTTAGATAACGGATTAAGCTTGATTTTCATGCATCCGTTGTCCGACGATACGATGATACGATATTAATTTTATTGGTTGAATTTAAAAGTTTCGATTGGTTAACCATTTCTAACCAATCAAAGTCTTTAAATTCAACCAATAAAATTGATATCGTATCGTCGGATAACGGATGCATGAAAATCAAGCTTGTATAACGGAAGGAAGAAATAATGAAGTATCTCGAAATAGTCTTATGCATTAAAAGTAAGGTGTCTAGCCGCTACTACTATCTAGTAAGGCAATTCTTTCACTACAAAACGTTAGGAGATCTCATGTAAAACCATGATAGTTTATTTTATTTAGTTTGTAATGGAAGCACCTATTCAACAATCAAATATTATAAATATTTGAATAATGTATCATTTAAGAAAATATAAGTTTGAGTTAGGTCTTAAGAATGTGTTAATGTTCAGTGTCGTAATAAAGTAAAGACTTCAGTTAACGTCTCCTTTTTGCTACCAGGGCTAATCTGGACGGGGTCTACTTTGTTTACGCGGAATCCGAACCGCAGTTCTCGGCCATATCATGGTCAATGGCCTACTGACTTGGCAAGTGTTTAAATCGACTCTTACTCACGAGATATCCGATCTCATCCGGCCTCGAACCGGCGTGAATGAGCAGTGTGTGTCAATAGATTTTACACTTTTGCCTTTATAGGACAACAGCACGATAGAGAGTTTCGAACTGGTCACCCGTCCATCCACTAGTATCGCCTTACGTCGCTTAACTTCGGTGTTCTAATTGGAACCGGTGTTTCAACGTAGCTAGGCCGTTGCTTTAGTGTCGTAATAGTTACGACACTGAACTCTACTTGAGAAAGCCTATGGGATTCAGTTTTCAACTTTTCGATAAGTTAGAAGATAACCGATATACGAGGGGAGTCAAAAAATGCATTAATTTCAATTTCGCCCTGTACTTCAGCAACCAAAAGGGCTAGAACAAATTTGTGTGCTGCAAATTTAGTTTCATAAAAAAGAAGGAAAGTAATGTGAAAACCGCGTCTATGTACTTTTACTCAAGCGAGAAACCGAGAAAGTCTGTAAAGCACAGGAAAATTGGATACACTGCAGTTGTGAAGCTCAAAAATTAATGACTAGAGAAAAAAAACTTCGCGAACTACAAAAGATGACATTAGCGTGCTAAAAATGGCATTAACGTCCTTTATAGACAATAAGTTTTTTGGTCCTAACTTTTTAATACCATAAGATCCTTTAATTCTAGGCTTTAGATTGACCATTTTAGGACCCTGAAAAGAATTTTTATTGAGCGTAGTTAGGTGAGAATTTGTTTCCTAAGATTGTGCACCCTCAATGTGTTGAACCACGTGTTTCCACTGCAAACCAAACCAAACTGTCCACAAAATGATAGAATAGATAAAGCAGAAGAAAAGATTACCTAGCGGGCAAGACTGACAAACTATGAAATACTAAAATTACACAGTGGCAAAAGATCTAGGAAATAATCTAATCTAAGTTAAGGAACTACGAAACAAGCAGGTTTAAAATGGTACCAAACAAAACAACAAGATAAATGCACTCAAATTAATGGAAGAAGTGTGTCCTCGCTATATATAAAGGAGGAAGATAGCTGAAAATGAGTATGTGATCCCGATGATATATACAGGTTGCTACAAATTCGAGGTACGAGCATTGGTAACTCGGTAACCGTAATAGACACGAACATAGTTAAATTGGGGCAAAGTTGCGCTTCGGGATGTTCACCAAGATGCCATCAAAAAAGTTTTAAAAATTTCAAGGATTGCTCAGTTTTTTCGAAGAAACGGATATTTTTGAATATCAATTTTATTTTTTCCTGTCGACACTTTTTAGAAAATCAAAAAAACAATTGCACATTCTCATAGCCACTTTATTAGGGCTATCTGAGAGTATTTTTAGAATTTCAAATCAGCTGATAATTTGTGAGATACAGAAGCCAACTTAATTTTTTTAAATCCAGACCTGCGTTTTTTATTTCAAATTTTGAAAGAACTCGCTCTCGTGAGTACAGTGATATGCTACACTTAATTTTTTTTTGTTTTGGAAATTTGGACACAATTTATTTAAACTAATTTCAAGTCCAGCTCTGTTTTTTTTTAATATTTAATATATTCATCGTTACAATATTGATAAGCTTTCAAACTTAACAGTGACGTGGGTTGAATACGGAAAATCAAATGCAATAATATAATAAAAAAATAATATAAATAAAATGTAATATAATCAATCAAATCATTTCCCCGGAAGATTGTTTGGAAATGGTAGAGCAGTATAATGGTCAGCGAGGTATTGGGTGCACCTTTGTTCAAGTTAGCAACCGATCGTTTAGAAGGGATGTCGATATATATGTTGTCGATACCAGATCGGTACTATGTTCATTGCAAAACTATTGTCGCTCAAATGCTGCGAAATATGGTATCACTATCACACTCTTGCACACGTGTGAGACACGGTCTAGACTGTCGCCTCGCCACAAAGCGAGAAATCAGAATATCGCTACGAATCGATGTTGCTACTGAACATAGTGCCTCAAGATACAAAATTACTTAGCTATCGCTTTGAAACATGAACAAAGTTGCACCCCTGGACCGTCTGATGACGTCAAGTAATTCGACAGGTGCAAATTTTACAAAAAGGTGAAATCAACACATCTCGGCAATTACAATAAAGAGTACAAAACGCATTCGAAAGTATAAGAAGATCTATTCAAAATCTATAAATAAAATCGAACGAAAAATAAATTTGTGCAATAGGGAGGGTGGTAACCATGTCGAACATGTAGACTATGTAAAGCATTAGAAACTAGTTTGTAAAAGTTAATTTATTCATAATAACTACGATTAATATTATGCAAATTATTAGATCGTACACTGAGAATTTCAAATTCACAATAAGAAAAGTTAAAAATAATATTTTTTTTAAAAATTTTATAAAAATATATTTAAATTGCTGATCTGGATATTATTTATTTGAATCTTTCAATTGGCTCAATTTTCTTTATTCAATGTTAATTAGCACTGATCAATATTGTTGCGATGAATATAATCAGATTAAATAATTTAAAAAAACAGAGTCGGAAAAAAGTATAAAGTGTGGCATACAATTGAACTCAGAAGAGTGAGTTCTTTCAAAATCTGGAATAAAAAATGCAGGTCCGTATTTAAAAAAATGAAGTTGGCCTCTGTATCTCACAAATTATCAGCTAATTTAAAAATCTAAAAATACTATCAGATAGCCCTAATAAAGTGGCTATGAGAACGTGGAATTAGTTTTTTGATTTTCTAAAAAGTAACAACAGGAAAAAATAAAATTAGTTTCCAAAAAAATCCGTTTTTTCCAAAAAAACTCAGCAATACTTGAAATTTTTAAAACTTTTTTGATTGCATCCTGGTGAACAGTCCAAAGCGCAACTTCGCCCCAATTTATCCATCTTCGTATTTATTACGGTTTCCGAGATACCAATGCTCGTACCTCGAATTTGTAGCACCCTGTATTGTAAACAAAGTATTCCTAGGTTACTATACTTTGAAGCACGTATGCTATTTTTAATAAAGCCGATATAATATAATCTTCAAATCTAAGTTGCACTTAATTGATTTGTTAAAAATATTCATTATTATAAAATACAATAAAGCGTACAACATTATCTCTAAAATCTATGAAACTGTTTATCTCTAGCCGGCGCGTACGGTCCTGGACACTTTATCTCCGAGGTCTTAAGACCAAATCAATAGCGATCTTTTCCCACTACACGTTAAGATTTTATAAAAGATAAATTCGTCAATCTATAGCCTAGTACAGTTCGCGCCAAATCTGTGGTATGTATGCAGTTAAAAATATTCAGCATGTTGAAAGATCGCAGATCTCATCTTTTCGATTAGTTCTTTAAGCTGTACGCACACTGGTGCGATCACGGCCGCGATCACGATCTCCAAGCGGCCCAACTGATAGGAATTTTCCGTTATTTTGTGTGTTTTTCTTGTTGCAATTTAGAAATGGAGTTAACAGAGCAACTAATTAAGGATGTAAAAATACACAAAATTCTATATGATTTATCCGATCGAAGTTACAAAAATAAAAATAATAGAATTAAAAATAAAAAGTTTGAGACAAAATTGGAGTTGCAATTGGATTGGATAATACATATATGTATACATTTTTATTGTTTAAGTTTAAATATTGTAAGTAAATATTTAAGACTGTTTTTTTTTAAATTTATACCTATGATGGCCTACAGGATGGTGCACTACATATAGGTACGGCGGTGAACGTGAACGCGTTGGTGTGTGCTAGAATGATCGCTCATGTTATCGCTGCCCTGATCGTGATCGTGATCGCGGCCGTGATCGCACCAGTGTGCGTACAGCTTTATCGAAGCCGCCACTACACGTTGAGATTTGGACCGAATTGAAGGACGATATAGTTCAAATATCTCAGATATCGTTGCGTGTAGGGCTCTTTTTAAATTTATTCGAGCTATTATTTATTTTAAAATGTTTTATTTTCAAAAAAATATTCTTTGGAGAAGAAAATTTATTGAAGTTTAATAACTCATTAGAAACTAAGTGTTTTTAGAGTAAGGATAATAGGCTGTATTTATAAAAAGAAACCGTACCTTTTGCTTACAAAAAATGAAGCAATTCCTTCAAGGTATATGCATAAAGAAAAGTGAAGGAAAAGGTAAGTCTTCGATGATTTGCTTTAAAGTAAAAGGTCTTTTGTTTTTCGTATTTATAAAAAAAAGAATTTGCTTAAAAAATAAAGGTTTTACTTCTAAAAAAGGAATCTAGGTTCACAAAACCTTTTCTCAATCTTTTCAGTAGTTGGCCAACCATCAAACAGCTCGGAACGTAAAAAATTGTCTATTTGTAGGTGTGTTTTTATGTGTTAACATCTACCTAGTAATCTGTGGTTGTGTGGTTTCAGTGTTGTGTTTGTTATGGCTAATATTGTGCATTTACGTACAAGAAAATACTACAAACCAAGACATACGTCACGTGAATCAGATTTCAAAACGTTATTTACATTTGAGGAGCAGAATGTGATGTGGTTGGCGGACCACTTTCTTGGCGCGGATCTTGAAACACGTGGAGCAGCCCTATCACCTGTGCAGAAAGTATTTCTGCGTTATTGTGCGAATCCTGAATTCCAGAGCGGAATTGCTGACGAATTGGGATGTACGCAGCCCACAGTGTCCAGAATATACCATGAGGTGCTTGAGCAGCTTGTACAACCGGTTGGCGAATGGATTCGGTTCCCAAACACAGAAAATCAAATCATGCAGGCCAAAGAAAAGTGGTTGACTAGGTTCCACTTCCCAACAGCCATTGAGGTTATTTACTGCATGTACATTCGTATTTTAAAGCCAGCCCAATTTGGAGACGAATATATACATCGAAAAGGTTTTAGCAGTATTAATGTGCAGGCTACATGCGACCAGAATTGTGTTATAACTAGTAGAGATGCAAGTTGGCCTGGATCAGTTCATGATTCTCGTATATGGAAGAATTCGGCAGTATGTGAAGTCATGAACAGAACAAGAAACACTATACTACTAGGGGACAGTGGGTATGGTATAATGTCATGTCTCATGACTCCCTATTCCAACCCCCTCCAGGAATATCAGATAGCCTTCAGGCTGCTTAAATCAGAGCGAGTTGTAATTGAGCATATATTTGGGCAACTGAAACGGCGATTTCCTATTCTAAAGTATGGATGCAGAGTGAAATTTACCAGTATTCCTAAAGTTATAATTGTATCTCTGCACCTTTTACTTTATTTATCCAAAGCATTTCCTTGCAAGGAAAAGGTAGAGATTATAAATACGAATTGTAGCAAAACCTTTTACTTCTACCTTTTGCTTCTACCTTTTACTTGAAAGTAAATGCTTCATTTTTATAAATACGGTCTAATATTTTAGTGTAGTTCAGTATAGTTTAAAAAGAAAATAGGAAATTAATTTTTTTAAATCTCTTTAATTCACAGAATATCGCCTACAAAAATTGACAGAATTTTTGTTTTTGTGTTGTTTTCCGACCTGTCTTTCAAATGCAATTATTATACTTCTATTTCAATTAATGCTGCTCCATGCGCCATATAATATGACAGCTGGAAAACATTGCCAAAGTATGAATCGTGATAATCAAATATTTAATGATAAGAAACAAATGAACTGTACGTTTCTAGTTAAATTTTGATTCTCTTGTAAGTTCATCGCAATCTTTTCTACGAATTGAATTAAGTTAGGTCGTTTTATCTAAAACAAATTTATATATAGATTTACATATTTTTGTGTGCCATGTGTAATATATTTATGTAACCAATGTACTAGTTCCAAAATTAATAAATACTCAAATAAAGAAATATAATATGAAATTAGTGATTAATTAGTAAACAGTGGTACAAATTTGTGACAGTGGTGTATGATTTCCACTTACAAGCATATTGTTTTTCTGTCATTTTTGTATAACGTCGGCCTAAATAATCCCGCCATCGAACAAGTTATTCAAAAATATCCTTTATCCCTTTTAAACTTGTTTACACACTTCCAATGGCTATTCAGTATATCATAAAAATAAGCAAATTAATAGAAATGAATAGTTGTAAAATGTAGAATGAGTGGGAAAAAAGTTAATCACAGCGACCTTAAAGATCTATTGCGTCACCCTTTCTTCAGTTATAACTAGTCATATAGTCTATAACTCATCATACATGAGGATTTTTCTATTATAGGAGGGCAGGATATTTCCCATCCTCCTCTGACAAAAGATGTTCATCCTCCGAGGAGTGGACATCTACATCCACCGAGAGTAGACACCCTTCCACAATTGGGGTTTGGCCCTCTGTGCTTACTGTAAAGGAGCTTGTATCTGGCTGAGGTACCCGTGAGGTGGAGGTTCTGTCTCCATTTTCTCCACCGGACTTAACTTGTTTTCTCCTTAGACCTGATACCGGTGTTATCCCAAATATTTAATAGAGGATATATCCCTCTTTCTCTATTGCTGTCTTGGATTTAAGGCCAATTTCTATTGTGAAGACCTGACCATGGCCCTCCTCCCTCGAGTTGATGACTCGCCAACGCGATATCTTTACATTGAAGTTCTGGAAAACCTAGTGATACGTCCCTGCTTGCCTCCATGTGTTGGACGACTTTCCATCCTGGTTTTTTTCTCTCCATGCCATAACAGTGGTAAGGGGGAAAATTTTCAAGTCAGGGGCTTGGAACACCCTCAAAAAAAATTCCACTTCTACAACTGTGTGTGTATGACACACCAAGAATTTACAACTTTGACAAACACCTCACTGTAGTATTGAGTAATAAAAAGGATTGGGAAGGAAGAAACGCTTACTCAGCATATAAAAGACCATACCATAACGTGGTATGGTCTGATGCTTCCAAAACCAAAGCAGAGACAGGGATAGGAGTATTTGGGCCGAAAACTAAATACTCCGAACCAATGGGCACCTACCACAGTATCCTTCAGGCAGAAATTTACGCTATCGAAAGATGCGTACAGTTTATCTTACATAGGAACTATCAAAAACAGGAAATTGCCATCCTATCCGATAGTCAAGCAGCAGTAAACACGTTCAACTCAGTAACCATCAATTCGAAGTTGGTCAAAGATAGAAGGCAATGAAAAAGGGATAGAAGGCAATGAAAAAGCAAATGATCTAGCTAGGAAAGGAGCGAACACTCCACTAACTGGACCAAAACCGTTCTGTTTTCCAAACGGGAACCAACTGAAAGCGGAACTGAAAAATCTGGAAGACTCCATCCGTAACTTGGAATGGGTATCCTCCAACGGCTTAAGACACTCGTAAAAGTTCTTCAGAACTTCGACCGAGAAAAATCAATCGTTTTCCTTGATTTAAGTTAAAACAATATTCGGATTGTCACGGAGTTTCTAACAGGACACTCAACAAACACCTCAGTAGGCTGAAGCTGAGAAACAACGGCGAATGCAGATTCTGTGAGGAAAATGGGGAAACACCAGAACACCTTATCACTGAGTGCACCGAGACGACGACCATTCGTGCCATGAACTTTGGTACGGCTGATGTGGAGCCGTATCAGATACTGGCTTTTATTAAAGCCCCGAGACTGTATGATGAGTTATAACTCGTTATAACTCAAGAAAGGAGAACACACAATAGATTTGTAAGATCGCGATTATTAACTCCCCCCCTAAACATTCTACATTCAAGGGGTTCTCGCTTCCCTCTCTTTCACTTTGGTGGAGATGCGCCAGGCTGTTTCTTGGTTCAAGGTCAATAATTAGTAAAACATGATTTTCTTTTTAATTTTTTGTTAGTTAGTGAAAATTAATTGTGTTAAATAAATTAGACTCTAAATTATCCACTCGAAACTAAACAAAAACGTAACAATAAGATCGAATTTGGATTCTACACCTTCAAATGTACCGATTGGATTGTGTAGTTTATTTTCGTGCAAAATTATTTCATTTCCAAAAAATTCAATGACGATGTTTTCCCCTTTACCCTTCATTTATAATTAGTAAAAAAATTACCTCCAATTTTTTAATAAGCTAAATTTTCAATAAGTTTGCAAATTGATACTGTCAGTGTCTCGTATAATCGAAAAAAAGCATCTAGTTGGCTCGGGAATGACATTGATCGATGACATTCCCTATATAACTTTATACACAGGATGAGTCTTAAATAAGTGCAAATATTTTCTGGGCTGGTAGATCTCGATAAAAGAAACATATTTTCCAAGTCCAAAATAACCGAGATATTTTACTTTGAAAATTTTAAAAAATTTGATTTTTCGCTTAAATTTTGAGAACCGCTGAGTTTTCTTTCTTGTAAAATTACTCTATTACCTATGTTGCCATATTATGAAGATATTTTGTTTTTTTAACTAAAATTTAAAAAAATCCCTAATTTTTATGAAAAAAATCAAAATTTTAATTTTTTTCGCTAAAAACACCTTATAGACGCGTTTCTGAGGTCGAAATATACCACCCCTAAAATATTTTCATTGATTTAGAACTTACTCTGTATAAAATGATAGCGATCTTTATTCCAAATCCATCGCTGACGCCGTTTTTTATTCGATCATTATTATATTAGTAAATTGGCATTGATTACAAATTTACCGAGTTTGAATATTATATTTTATAATTTAATTAATTTTGTACTAAAATTATACACCGCACGCTGTTGATTAATTAGTCTTTTTTAGCTCACTAAAAATGACATTAATATTTAATATCTTATTTTGCATGTCCCGATAGAATAACCTATAATTTCAATAACTGAAAACCAGCAGCCAGACTTAATTAACGAAACATAAATATTGGGTTATGCTCATATATTATTAATGATGTTTTCTCAAGTTCAACTGTGATGAGTAATTAATAATTATAAAATATTGGATGTTATAATATATTATTCCCATATATTAATTGGCTCTTTTGTCATATCACAGGCTCTCTATATATCTTCATAATGGATTTTTGTGAAAAGAAGCATTATTGAAAAGTCTGTCAAAATAGGTGAAATAAAAAAGTTTGTTGTCATTTTAACTTTCTCTGACAATTTTATAATTAAACAATTGTAATACTTTTAACTATATGTAATTTGTACTTGTCTTTTTTTACTTGACTTTATTGTTTAATTTGGCTGTTTTTGTGAAGTTTTTTAGTTCATTTACTTTGTTTTATAATTTGGTTAGGTTAGTTATGATATTTTATCTTGGGCCGGAAGATGAGACTGTGCCGTTTCTAAACATGTCGTCCCTCTATTTGTAATTTTTTTTAAATAAAAATAATAACTAATAATATACAAAGTTTAATATACTATTATATTAATACATATACCGTATGATCGAATAAAAACGGCGTCAGCGATGGCTATGAAATGAAGATCGCTGTCATTTTATATGGGAAATGTCCACAGAGAAATGTAATCGATCGTCATTTCCAAGCCAACTGGACGCCATTTTTTTTCGATCATACGGTACTATTGTTGTAAGTCAGCAGTCGTCTCACCAGCGCCCATTTGTGACATGGATTGCAAGAAAATATCTTAAAATGAACCTATTGTAATTATTAAAAAGACCTACTTCTTAAAAGTTTTAAGATGTAGTAACTTTAAAACTATGCATTTCTGCACCCATGTTTACAGGATCTTTTTTATATTTTTTGATGAAAAATCAATGAATACTTATTTAATATTTTGGCAAGTTAATTACATTGGCATGTCGCCCTTTATCGTTTTAATTACACACTCGAATCTTAACTATAGTTATGGCAAGTGTCTTTCCTTAACACGGCAAAATAGAATTCCGAAATTCTTCTAGAATTAATACTGAACCATTGTGTACAACATCTAAAGAAATTGTATAGATTTTTTTAAATAAGTGTCGAAATTTGTTAAATTAATAAACGCAAAATTAGAGATTGTTGCATAAATACGCAACAACGTTTAAAGTGTCAAATTTTATTTGATTTTATTTTCAATGTCATTTTGACATGAAAAAATATAAATTTTCTCATATTTGGTGACTTTAGTAAACAATCATAAAGAATTTTCAACTCAAACAGTAAAGTATTTTTAGCTGGAAAAATATACCTAGTTATTATAGTTAAGGTCAGTAACGAAGAGTATTTTATTAAAAATTATTTAATTCTCATTCTAAATAATTTAGGCTGTTAGGTTATTAAAGGAAAGGATCATATTTTCTATTTTCTACCAAAAATTACTCTGTAAACAATTAAGATTATAAATTTACAATTTTCAAAACTTTATAACTCCATTTATTTAAATATCTAATAATATTAAATATTATTATGTCTTAGTAAATATGTCTAAAGTAGACATATTTGCATTTACATCTTATGTCTTAGTAAA